TCGTGCTACGCACACGTCGTGTCATGATCACACGTCTAAGTGGGTCGCCTAAAATCCTAATAGGGTGGAGTGGCGTGACAAGCCACTAAAAGAAAAATAAATGAGGGGTAAAAAATTAAAGCGTATGCACGTATGCTAGTGCTCGTTTGGAAGGGAGGGATCAAGAACCAACGCGAGGCTCTAGGGTGATGTCCCCCACCCAAATGCAATGCAGGCGCGAAGTGAACATACATCCAATCAATCAATCATACATTCGCGAACGAGGGAGTAGTTGGACACGTGTGAAATGCAAAAATCCTAAAAAGGAAAACTGCAACCCTAAAACACCCAAATGTGATATATGAAAGGGTTAAAAGAAGAAAAAGGTTGATTAAATCAAATTTGCTCGGACTCTCAAATTTCCCCAGTGGAGTCGCCAACTGTCGCGCCCCATTTTTTGATAAAATAAATAAATGTTTGAAAAAATGTATTTTTTGTAATTGGAAAATGAATTGTGATTTGAAAAAATGGATCTAAATGGGGGGGTTGAGAATGCGACGATTTGACCCAAAATTATAGTTTAAAAAGGGTTTTTTTTTTAAATGAAAATTGGAGTCGCCACTTGGTAATGAGTTAAGGTGTACCAAGTCACCAAAAAATAAATTTTTAAAGATTCAATAGGAAGAAGTAGTAAGAAACCCCTTTTAAACGACTCCTAGTCTACGTAAACCAAAGAAAAAGGTTCGGGAGTCACATTTGACAAAGGGGAAGGCAAGGATAAAATCCAAGGCATCCCTTTGACCTAGCCAAGGCTAGTTGCATGATTTAGTCAAAGATTTTCTTGTTTTAATCAAAGAATTTACCACATTTGGATGCACTACATGAATGCAAACCCTAGACCTAGGGGTATTGGGGGAAATTTCTCTTCAAAGGTTGAGTGGTGCCAATCACATTAATTGCGAAGCCCAATAACGATCCTTTGAAGAAGTCACGAATAATGCGAGAGGGATGCAAATGAATGGAATGCATGTATGCAATGTGAGGATATAAGTTTGAAAAAATGTAATAAAAGACAATAAATATGTAAATGAAAATGTGCACGTGAGTGGGCAAGTTACGGTATGTGAAATGATAATATGAAGTGCATGTGTGCAAGTGATAATAAAAGTGTTCGTGTGCAAATGAAGAAACATAAAGGTGCACGTGTGCAAAGTGGGAGGAAAAATGAAAGTGTGATGAGAGTATAAAAGGGTAGAGTAGATTTAAAAATGCATGAGCCTAGGGAATTCATGCATATTGGGTACGGGGAGACCTAAATCGTGACTCAATTTGCCCTTTTATAGAGGGAATACAAGCGTGCTAAGGCTTAGAAAAAGCCACACTCGTCTATATCCCATATTAAGGGGACTCTCAAGCAAATGAATCCTATAACTAGCATGAAATGCAAAAATCCTAAAATGCGAGGAAAAGGGGTTCGAGGGGCATGCAAAATGATAAAACTAAAAAGAATGCATGACATGTAATGAACATGCAAACATGTACTAACGAGAGGAAATCCCTAAGGGTCTAGCGTTGGACTAGCCCATTCTATGAATTCCGACTAGCGTTGGACTAGTGGAAACGTACATTCATCCATCACATTCATTCATGGTCATGGAAAGCGAGTAGACATGCCAAACACTTATAAACACATAGCACATAACATTTACCATGCTCGACTAGATGCAAGGGTCTAATAAAGCAAGTTAACACGTAGCACTTAAGCATGCAAGTCACACAAAGCAATTAAGGCCCTAACTATTACATTTGCTAGCTAGGCACATGTCTTCAATAGGTCTTCATCGAATGCTCCTCCAAGCCCTATCTATTACAAGCCAAGAGGTGTACACATACCCCATAAAGGATAACTTGAATAAAAAGCAAAAGTAAATGACATAAATAAAAGAAATTAAAGAAAGGCTAGGAAAGCAAAGTAGACATGTATATTCACATAACACGTAGGAGCACGTAGGAAAAATAACGCAAGAATATAGAAGTTACCTCCCTTGCAATGGAAATCGAGTAAATGAGATATTAGTTTCAAAACAATAAAAAGGTCACGGTACCTCAAATAGTAAAGTATAACAAAGTCACCAAATCCCCCCTAATTGCAATTTAAACAAAATCAAATAATACATAGTTTCTAATAGAAGGATCCGCCAAGGACCCAATTGCAAGCATAACATTTGAATTCCATCGAGACAATTAAGAACTTCAAAGGTCCCGAGAGCCAAGGAAAGATCAAGTAATGGTTCAAATTCAAATATCTTAGGACATAATTTCAAGGACATGGAATGTAATTGGGCCATAATGCATTGTTGCAAAAATCACGGGGACCCCATTGATTAGTTTTCTCAATTTTGTGGGTCATAATAGCATAATGAAACTTGGGGGGGTTAAGGGGCAATTTTTAGAAAATACTTTCATGCAGAACATGCTATCTTACGAAGGAAAATCTGCTTCTGCAACTCAAAACAACATTTCTGCAGCCAAGAAACCATCGCAATTTGCATTTCATTTCATTACCTCAAGTAACAACGCTTCTATCTCAAACAACTAAACACATCACTAAGCATTCATCTCACTTTCCATCATAAGACACTTATGTTTAAACATCAGAAATTCGGACAGGAGATCATGCAAAGCATCAAAATAACATTCTGCAATTTTTCCAGCCAACAGCTTTTCATTCCTTTTCATGGTGAAAGTGAATTTTGATGAATATCCAAATTTTTAAAAGCAAAACGGGCAAACACGGAAAGTTCTAAATCATCCATTCAGCCAAGCATCACATTTTTGTTTTGCCGCAAAATCAGAGCTGGGAGTCTGAGTTGCTTAGCAGCAAAAGGAACGGCAAGAGACGCAAGCTCTTATGGGCTTGTTGGTTCGGACACTTGAAATGCAGCAAGGATGGAAAGCAAGAAACTTAGGATAGATATGCATAACTGAACCCCAGATCATAGACCTTAATCAAACTAAAACTTAAGCAACAAAACCAGAGAACTTTGACATCTGAACCAGCAACGAGCACTTCCAAATCAGGAAAGGAACATGCCATTTCCTTCAATGATTTCGCCTACAATTTTCTGGTGTTTACTGCAAGTTTTTCTTTGTTAACATGTCAAAACTCCGGGGTTATGATTTTAAACAACAAGCATCATAGAAAAATCCAATCAGCAATCCAACAAATCTTCACAAAAACAAACCATGCCCAAAATATACAAAACAGGAAAAAGGAAAGCAATGGCAAGAGAAACATCAAAGAGCAAACATGATGGAACTATGGAACGAACCATCAAACCAGCGGCAAAGAGGGTGACGATTCATGTATCTACTTGGCAGAATCATGGTTTTCTAGACTACAAATTCTGGGTTTGCTTGTAACAAGCCATAAACTTCAAGCAAGACTCATAGATTCACCGGATGAAATCATATAGAAAGCCTAAATCCCTACCTCAGAACCCAGTCCAAACCCACGAAATATTTCACCAAACAGAAACGTAAAACAGTGGCATCAACCTGAGCACATTCATAGCAAAGATTCACTCCTCAGAAAGTGCAGAAACGGTATACTTACAGAGATAAAAACCTGAGAAATCGATGGAAGTTGCACAGATCTATGGAGGGAAAGTCCTCTCTTCAACAATTTCCAGGAGTGACGCGTTTGTCACTTCGAGCGTCGATTCCACATGCCTGGAGTTGTTTTCGCCCAGCTGAAACCCTCTTGTCCCTTTTCTCGTTCCTTTTCTTGTTCGTTTATCTCCTTCCTCACTTCCTAACCTAGCCGCTGCACCCCACTATCTCCTCTAGCGTTTTCTGTTTCCCTCAGCCATCACCTCCCTAGTTTTCAAAAACCTTTGCTCTCTCTTGTTTCCTTACTCCGCCGCAACTCTTATCTGCTGCTTCCCCTTCAAGCTCACCGAAAACTCAGCCCTCAATCTCGTTCTCTCTTTCTTCTCCCGTTTTTCTTTTCATCAGCTCTCTCCCCTGTCTTAAAATTTTCTCGCCGTCACTTACTTCCCTTTTATGCAGCCACCAACCTCTCCAGTCGTTTCCTTTTTGCTTTTCTTTTTCTCGGCCCTCCCCACTCTCTCTTGCGGCTGCTAACCTCCTCTTCTATTTATATGGGCATCTCCAATCCCTAAAACCCAGTCCTCCTTCTGCAATTTGCAGCCAAGGGGCTGCCGAACCTTTCCTTTGCAAGTCGCGGCAGCTCGCATGCCGCGGAGCAATTTTTCCTTTTTTTTTTATTTTTTGCAACAACATTAAAAATAACAGAAATAAATAACAAAAAACACTTTAATTAATATTGGATGAAAAATAAACTAGAAACAAAAAAAAATGCAATTTCCAAATTCCTCTTTTTTCATTTTCCATTTTCATCGTTTTTTTCCATTTTTTCCAAGAAAGCAAAGAATAAAACAAAAATGATTAAAACATATATATATTTTTTGAATGTTTTCCTTTTCCCCTTTTTTTCTTTTTCTAGAAACTCTACGCTAAACTTAAAAACTTATAAAACAAAAACTAAAAACTAAAAATTAAAAAACTAAAAAGTGAATAAAACTAATATGACAAATAAAAATAAATAGCAAATGAACTAGACAAATTAAAAGGGCAAAATGAGTAAAACTAAAATGAAATAACAACTAAAAGTGCAAAACAAACGATAATGAACTAAAAATGCAAACAATCTAAAACAAAAATTATGAAATAGATGCAACATACAAATTATTTAAAATTTGGTATCTACATACATCTTATAAAAATTTAACCTTATTTTATTTGTTACTGTTGTTATGAACTTTAGAAGTAGGATAACATAAAGGTATTGTTGGAATAAAAATTTTATCTTTCTTCTATTTCCTCCAAAGGGGTTAAAATATTACAAAAAAATGGCAATTCAAAAGAGGTAAGTAAGAATTTAAAAACCTTAAAAGAGGCTGAGCGATATTGTGAGAAACCTTAGGGGGGGTTTCTCAAATTATCCCTTTTTAAAATTCTCTCCGTTCCTTCCCCTAACCGTCAACATTTTCTCATTCAAAAAATGTCCGGTTGGCAGATGCTTCTCCCGCCACTGATGGCAAAATCTCATCTATTAACCCCTTTCTTCAACGAAATTGCTGACCATTTGATTCCACTGGCTAGTCTCGACTAGCAAGAATGAGTGCCACAGCTGTCGCCGCCCTTGCCATGGTGGAGGAAACCATTCATCATGTTGACAGGCGTGCAGTTGCCAACCGCTGCGCTGCCCAACTTCAGCTGTGCTGCCCCCACAGCCCCACCTCATATACCCGAGCCCGCACCATCCATGGCCACATGATAACTTCTGGGTTCAAGCCGCGTGGCCACATTCTCAACCGCTTGATTGATGTGTATTGTAAATCATCTAACCTTGGATACGCCAAGAAACTGTTTGATAGAATTCCCCAACCAGATGTTGTCGCAAGAACCACTTTAATAGCTGCATATTCTGCTTCTGGGAGTCCTAAGCTTGCAAGGGCTATTTTTGATGGGACACCTTTGCGGGTTCGGGATACAGTTATATATAATGCTATGATCACCTGCTTTTCGCACAACGATGATGGCAATGCCGCAATTAGGCTGTTTAATGATATGAGTAAGAATGGTTTTTGGCCCGATAACTTTACATATACAAGTGTAGTTAGTGCTTTGGCTTTAATAGCTGATCAAGAAAAGCATTGCGGGCAGCTCCATTGTGCAGTTGTCAAGTCTGGAACTGGCATGGTAATCTCGGTGATGAATGCGCTTATATCGGTGTATGTAAAGTGTGCCGCATCGCCATTAGTGTCTGCCTCTTCTTTGTTGGGCTCAGCAAGGAAGTTATTTGATGAGATGCCTGTGAGGGATGAATTGTCCTGGACAACTATCATTACAGGATATGTGAAAAACAATGAGCTTGCTGCTGCTCGTGAAGTCTTTGACGGAATGGAGGAGAAATTGGTGGTTGCTTGGAATGCAATGATTTCAGGATATGCGCACAAGGGATATTCTTCTGAAGCATTAGAAATGTTTAGAAGGATGTGTCTGTTAGGCATTAAGCACGATGAATATACGTATACCAGTATCATTAGTGCCTGTGCGGAGGCTGGATTATTTCTTCATGGAAAGCAGCTGCATGCTCACATTCTACGAACAGAGCCCACAACTGGAGGGGAATTTTCAGTCTCTGTCAGCAATTCCCTGATGACATTCTACTGGAAATGTAATAAGATTGATGATGCCCGTAAAATATTTGACAAGGCTGTTGTTAAGGATCTTGTTTCTTGGAATGCAATCTTATCAGCATATGTGAGCGCAAGAAGAATTAGAGAAGCAAAATCGTTTTTTGACCAGATGCCTGAGAAAAATTCTTTATCATGGACAGTTATGATAGCAGGATTTGCACAAAATGGGTTTGGAGAGGAAGGTTTGAAGCTGTTCAATCAGATGAGGTTAAATGGTATTGAACAGTGTGATTATGCTTTTGCTGGGGCAATTACTTCTTGTGCAGTGCTTGCAGCTTTAGAGCACGGGCGACAACTTCACACTCAGCTGGTGCTGCTTGGTTTTGATTCAAGCCTTTCAGCTGGAAATGCATTAATAACAATGTATGCTAGATGTGGTGTTGTTGAGGCAGCACACTTCTTGTTTCTTACCATGCCCTATGTGGATTCAGTATCTTGGAATGCAATGATAGCCGCCTTAGGCCAGCATGGACACGGCTGTCAGGCACTGAGACTTTTTGAAGACATGCTGGGTGAAGAAATAGCTCCTGATCGAATAACCTTCCTCACTGTTCTTTCTGCCTGTGCTCATGCGGGTTTGGTGCAAGAAGGAAGCCGCCTTTTTAATTCAATGTATGAGAAATTTGGAATAAGCCCTGGTGAAGATCATTATGCGCGTTATATTGATTTGTTGTGCCGAGCTGGAAAGTTATTAGAAGCAAAAGATGTAATTCATTCTATGCCTTTTGAGCCTGGGGCACCTATTTGGGAAGCTTTCCTTGCTGGTTGTCGAAATCATCGAAATATAGACTTAGGGGTTCAAGCTGCAGAGCGACTCTTTGATCTGATTCCGCAACATGATGGAACCTACATACTCTTGTCAAACATGTTCTCAAGTTCTGGTCGTTGGGATGATGCAGCCAAGGTGCGAAAATTGATGCGAGACAGAGGAGTTAAGAAAGAGCCTGCTTGTAGTTGGATTGAGGTTGATAACAAAGTGCATGTATTTTTGGTGGATGATACTGTACACCCTGAGGTACTAGCAATTTATGAGTATCTAAAAGAGTTAGGACTGAGAATGAGGAAACTGGGATATGTTCCAGACACAAGATTTGTCTTGCATGATATGGAGTCTGAACAGAAGGAGTACGCTTTGTCAACTCACAGCGAGAAGCTAGCAGTTGTTTATGGCCTGCTAAAACTTCCTCCTGGAGCCACAATTAGGGTTTATAAAAACCTTCGCATTTGTGGGGATTGCCATAACGCATTAAAGTTCATGTCACTCACAGAGCAGAGAGTGATTATTGTGAGAGATGTGAAGAGATTTCATCACTTCAGGAATGGTGAATGCTCATGTGGTAATTACTGGTGATAGGAGATATTCTTTCTTTATCCACTGGTTTGTGATTTCCTCCTTCACTGAAGGGCATGGTATCAGCCGGCTGATGGAAGGGATCAAACAAAGCAATTTCTCAAGCATGTCCTCAAATGGTGGTAATATATAGTTCATACTAGGCATTCTCCTCACCTTTTCACCGCCAAGCCATAGTTGACTACATAAACTAAAAAGGGAGAGAATCTTTGACCAGAGCAACCAAACATTTTCGGTTGCATAAGTTTCTAATCTGTTGTTTTAAATTCATTCGTCTTCTTTTTCCTTGAAACCTATAAGCTTTAAACCTGCCATTTGGAGGCTTTTTAAGAATTCTTCTTGATCTTAAAACCATTAAGGTAATATATGTGGTAGGCTCTACAGACACAAGATTTCTAAGTACCTGCATAACATACCCTAAATCTCTGCTGTTAAAAAAGCGTTTATTTTATGCTCATCTGATTCAGATTGAAATACACAGATTTCTTGTCTTCTTTCTGATGGTGTTTCTGTTGGTTTTCAGCAAGAAAAGAGAGAAAGGATGTTTCAAATTTCTTTGGCTAGGGTGATTTATGAGGAGCAGAGGGAGAACATTGTCTAGTATTTATGTATTTTCATTCCTGATATTGAAGAAAAGTGAATATTTTTTCATGCATTAATGTCTACTTGGTAGAAGTGTGCTGCTGGAGCTTTCGACATGAAATAAACTGTCAGTATGTTCGCTGCAACTTACCTGGTGTTTTTTTTTCCTTCCTTCCTTCAGCCTCTTGTTCATGGAATTGGAGGAAGCTATTGAAGGTCAGGTCTATAGCTAGGCAATGTATACAGATGGTTATTGGTGATGGTCAAGCAACTTTTCTTTGGCAAAACTGGTGGCACCTTCTGGGTCCTTTACTGCAAGCGTTCTCTCCTCAAGTGTTTTAACTCTTCAAGAACTCTGAGAAGCCAAAAGTGTCCTCTATTCTTAGTGGTGGTTCTGGGAATTGGCCTCATAGGAGATATCTGAGGGGTGAGGTAATATCTCTTATAAATGCTATGCCTCCTCAACCGCTCCCTATCCCTGGCTAATCTGATTCAGCAATTTGGCTTTCTTCTGCTTGTCGAATGTATATTGCAAATCAGCTTTGATGCAGTTAAGTGGTACCAAGTGCTCCTGTTCCTTGGTTTAAACGTGTATGGGGTAAGAAGCATGTCTCGCGCCTTGCTTTTATCTTATGGTTAGCCTGCAGGAAGAGACTAAATACAAACGATGGGCTCATTTCTTCGGGTATTGAAGGGGAACCAGGATGTGTGTTTTGATCTTCTGCAGATGAGGATCTGAAGCATCTGTTCTTTCTTTGTCCATTCTCACACTGTATGGGAGACTGTGCAAAGAAAGTGTCTTTTATATAGAATGGCAGATAATCTTGACACTGAGATTACTTGGTTTGTAAAACACTGTTCAAACGCCTCATTCATATGTTGCGGTAGAAGAGTCATTTTAGCAGCATCTGTATACCATTTATGGAAGTTCTGTGATACCCCAACTTTTAGGATCATCTTTTGTTTAGTCTCAAAGAGGATATTACGGTTTCTTTAGTTTATTTTTATTTTAAAAAAAATATTATTTTGTTTGAAAAGAAAATACTAAAGTGTATTTTTTTGGATTTGACTTAAAACCTTATTTTGTTTTAAAAGACTAGAAACCCTAAGATTTTAATAAAAAAAAAAATCCTAATTTACTTGTGACTAACCGGTTTTCTTAAATCTCTCATATTTTAATTGAAACCCTAATTTTAATTACTGGAATTGTAAAATCCCTCACGTTTCTCTTAAAAATTTTCTTTTATTTGGAACTTATGATTTTATAATAACCCTATCACCCAATCACCTCACCATGAGTACAAATGAACATGAAAATAAAGGTTTTTCACTTCTCGTTTTCAAGAAAGAGCGAATTAGGGTTTTCACGTTTTTTCGTAGTGTGACTATTCGGTACCGAGTGAGGATCAAATTTGGTAGCTAAGAGTGACTTTTGAATGAGGAAATATTATATGATTAGAAGTGATAATAATAAATTAGTGATTAGAAGGTAAAAACTCTAGTATACGCGATTTAAGAAAAATCGGTTGAAACTGACGGGTATCGATCACTACCGATTGAACCCGCCACTTGACCACCACTTCCTTACCACCACACACCCTTGATATTTTTGCAAAATATTCCCCTCCCCCCCTCATACTCATCTTCTTGGCCGAAATTGGGGCAAAAAATGTAAGGGAGAGAGAAAAATTCATGGCCTTGGTGGTGACAAGTGTCACCACCCTATGGTCCCTTAGTTGATATTTTTTTTCCTTGCCTTCTTATCACCATGGAGCAGCCTTTCTTCCTCATTTTTCTGCTACCTTGGCTGAGAGAGAGAGAGAGAAAAACCCAAGGGAGAACTGCCCAATCCATCTTGAAATTGGATCACCCAAGTGAGGAAACAAAAAAAACTAAACCGATTAAAACCTTCCTTGAGTGTTTAGCTAGTGGGGTGCTGGTGAAATTTTGGAAGGAAGAGCTAGGGTTGCTTTTGGTAGTCACTTTAGCAAGGTAATGATGCTGACTTCCCCATTTCTTACTCTTGATCTTGTTTAAATTGGCTTAGCATCTCATTTGTGGTAAATGATGGTTATTATCATGTTTTGGGTGTTTTTCCTTTTAGTTACATGAATTAGGGTTTGATGGATTGCTGCCTATACTTGATGTATGGTTAAAATATGTTGTATCCAAGATTATATAGGGGGTTTTGGTAGCAAGTGAAGCAAGAAATAAAGAAAGTTATCATTGAAACCAAAAAATTCCAGATTTCTGGAAAATATGACTTCAATTCTGTCCGGTTTTAGTGCTCCATGTTAGAAGCCGAATTAGGCTTGGTACAAAACATGAAAGTTGTAGATAATGATGTTTTATAGTTTTCTACAAAATTTCAGCTCAATCGGAGCAACGTAGCCTGTGAAAAGACCAAAATACCCTCGCTGACTTAGGGCGCATCCAGTGATCCGTTTTAGACAGATTTGTCCAGTTAACTGTATTTATTCACTATGATCCGTGCTGATTTAGCCATTTTCCAAAACATAAAAGTTTTAGTACTCTGTCTTAGATTTTCAACGCCACCAAGAACACCTTAAACGGACTTTGGTAGCCTGAGATATGGCCATTTAAAGGTAGTATGGTTAATTAGCCGATTAGTTGGAATTTGGTTCTGGGAATTGGGAATTTGACTAGGTTACACTGGGATTTGGTCTAAGTTGTCTTTATAAAAATTGTAGCTCTCTATCTTAGCTTCGAAACGGTATAAATTTTATCCCAATCCGATAGGCGTAGCTTCGGATATGTCCTTTACGCAAGAACCCGTCAAATCTGTTTTTTGTTATATTTCATTTCTGCACTTGTTTTTAGCTTGATTTTTGTCCTTGTATTGTCTTGAGCCTATTAAACGGCTATTGAAATGAATTTGTGTTGTGAGTAACTTTGGGTTTGATTGAGGAAAAGAATGAAGCCATAAATGGTTGGAAAATAGGAAAATACAAAGGGCGTGCTGCCCAAATTTTCGCTCGAGAGCTAAGTTTCTATTTGAACTTGTATATTTTCGTTTGGCAAATACTATGACCATTTTTCCATCTTAAAACATGATCCTTCTTCAATTGGAAACTCCAAATGTTTACTTGCTCTTACCAAATAAAGAGGAGTGGTTTAGGGTTTTCTTGGGTATTTTTGTCCTCCGTTTTTCATGAATTTCATTAAGACATTTAGTCTATAATATCTACTTGAATATGAGATGATTTTGAACCATATAAACGATTTCGAAAACAGTATTTTTTAGCCTATCTAGTTGGATTCCGACTTGTTTTTAGTTCAAGTGTTTCCATTAGAAAATTTTATAATCCTTTTGAGTTTGGTTTTACATTTGGTCTATGAAACCCTAGTTATTTTGTCCACGGGTCCAAATGTCCTCGTTTCACTTTAAAGTCTTTTATACGTTCTATTCATCATTTGTCGAGTTTCTTTGATTTCACCTAATTGTTGTGCTAAATGAGCTGTAATATTCTTTTCGTTTAATCTTAGGTTTTCTCGGTGATTAAAAATAATATCCGAAAGGAATATTTTGCACGTTGTTTTGCCTACATAGGTGAGTGTTCCTTGTTTGTTATATTCTCCTTGACTTCATGACTTGTTGTTGTTGTTTGATAATGTGTTAAGTGTTTCCAATGATTTCCAAAACGAATTTTCTAGGCGAGCGTGTACTTTATCGCGCTCGACCTAAATGAAACGTGAAATTTTCAATGATTTAATGATTAATACATTAGTTGCGCATGATGTAACCCTTTTGGCTGAATTGGACCCTGCCTTTCGTTACCGATCGACTCGAGCCAGAAGCGGACTCGGTCGGGCGATATGGTGACCCTGGGTGAATTTGGTATACTAGAGTATTACCTTGTAGTCCGGCCAACGTCCAGATGGGGGAGAATGAACGAACGAACGAGAGTTTTTACTTACAAAATTTCATTTTTAAATGATTGGAGGAATAGGGGGAACGACAAGAAAACGAAGGAACGAACGAACAAATGGCTCCTTGTGAGCCCGTATCCTTTTAATGTATGCGTTAATATCGCTTTCCATGGTAAATGTTTCTTGAATTATTGATGTTCTATGTTTAATGTAATGGATTGATTATTTGATTATGTGTTCGGAACCTCACTGAGCTTTTAGCTCATCCCTTTAGTTTTGTTTTTCTTAACAGGGGAAGGCACGCAAGGATGAGAGCTTGGTATAGACTAGTTTGGTCTAGCTCTTTGTTTTTGTAATGGTTCTCGCCCTAGTGCTTGGCACGGGCTGGTTGTATGAAAGTGAGAACATTTGTACATTTGATGGTTGTACTTCCTTTTGAGATAGCAATGTATATATAAGTTTCACTTAAGTTTTGGATTGTTGTATGTATTCCTTTGGTTGTATTCCGGATTTGATTAAGGAACGACTGAGTCCCGGCGAGAGTTGGGCAGGCGGTCCGCCGAACCCTTTGGTTCGCCTTAGGGGAAGGTGGGGCTGTCACAAGTTCAGATATCAGATTGTGTTTAGAGATGGTCTCATGCTTGCAGACTGTATCGTTGGCAAGATTATCTCAGATGTTAGAAATGTGGATACTAAATGGAGAGGTGGACCAGAAACAGGAAATTGCTGATTTATATAATGCATTGGTCTGCTTTTCCCGATAGTTAGATAGCTTTTATGGCTAGTTGTTTGCTCTGTGATCATGCCACCATCTTGATGTATTGTGTTGGGGATCCCCCACAATAACATAAAGTGATGAAGTATCTGAACTACTTTTTTCTTTATTAAGAATTGTTATCAAATTACTTGTAAACGCATGTATCTTGACTTTATTCAAATTATTAAAGAGCGTGCGCACGCACGCTCGCACGTACAAACACACACATATATATATTCTCTAAAATTCTAAAACTGAATGCCTAAAAGGAGTTATTTTCATCTGGCTTGGGGCTGAAGGGCGGGGGAGGTGCAATTACCAATTTATAGGTTGAAAATGGAATCATTCACAATTTTCTACCTGAAACATGAAATATTTCTTTGACCGGTGGGGGCACATACATCCATGGCTAAAGAGTAGCTCCGCCAGTGGCTTCAACATTAATTCATAGACGTGTGGAAAACTGCTTGCAATTGAATTCTCTTGGTTCTTTAAACTTTATGAGTCATAGTTTAGTGATTTGTTCAACAACTTAGGATAGTTGAAATTGCAAAATCTAATCCAAATCTTAAAGGAGAAGTTCTTAAAAGCAAAGAAAAATTGCACTAGGAGAAATGCATTTTAGTTAGTTTTATAGGCTACTTGACATTGAGAAAAATCAAACTTCTTTGTGGAATTCTTTCCTTCTATTTTAAACCAAAAAAAAAAAATCTTTTGTCTGGAGAAAGAGGGTTTTGTAAGCTTTTGCCAAAGAGTTTGATCTTGTTTTCTGAGATGTTTATGATACACTGCAAGGGAGTACATTAGTTGAGGTATATGTATAACACGTTGAATATACAATGAAGATCTACAAAAGTAGGTTTAGTTATTCCAGAAAGCTTGGTAATTTGTAATTCGTAGTTGTCTGAGATATGTAACATTTTCGGGACGAGTTACGATATGAGCCATATAAAGCGTGGTAAATGTCAAAGGGGATTTTCTTTGAGATTGTAAATTAATGTTCTTCATTGTTTCTATAAATAATTCGAGAACATGTAAGCCAAAATTTAAATTAAAAATATTTGTATGTAGCTATTTATTTGAGGTTCATAATAACTATAAATTATAAATGTAGATGGTGTGAAGAAGTGAAGAATAGAAATCATGATAATAGGAGTGTAACAGAGGATCCTTGGCCGGTAAATGTGACTTTAACATCTCTGACACACTCACAACTGTTTTGCAATGACAGGCATACTTGAGTGAAGACTTTCAAGTTGAAATTTTGTTGGAACAAAATAGGTTAACAGAGAAAAAAATAAGTAACCATTGTTCCACATCTTGTTTAGGCAAAATTTTAGGT